CATAAATATTAAATAATCTGTGCTTATAACTCAAGCATACTTTATAAATGTAAGTACCACAACACACGAGAGCCCCTTGATATTTAACATGCATTTTAAAACTGGTTGCCCCTTTCAACAGATATGAATCTTCAGCGTTTACAGCATGCCTTCTCTGATACCTCACATATGAGCGTAAACAGGGACATGTCGTTCTTCACTTCTGCTCCACAATTTTCTCAACAAGCACGCACATCCTACAAAAATCTCCTTTTTTTCCCCTACAGCCATCCCTGCACTCAAAACATCAAAAGGAAACAGCCTATTAGTTCTGCAGCCTGGTTCATCACACGGGAAAATAGCAAATCTACTTCAAACCCTAAATATTGATATTTGCTACCTGAGTACATGATATTTTCACAGGAAGATTACTAGTTGGATAACTCAGGCATAGATTGTTCTTCCTCCTCGTTACACTTTTTCCACAGAAGGGTATTTTCCAGGATATTGGAAAAATACCTACTTTTGTCAAAACAACATGACTGCCTGTATCCACAAACATGTTAGTGGAGTTGTGTTTCCTTACTATGTTTCCCCTTTACTAATACTACATAATTTCCATCCTATCCCTTTTCAGTGAAAATGGAGTTCCCGTGACCTTCACCCTTGTTTGTTGCTGTTGTTGTTTCTGAAGCTTGCCGCAATATGCCTCGATTCGGACCTGCTGTCATGCTTAAATTCCATACATGCGGCAGTTGTACACATGCTTCCTGCATGTATTTGAGCCCATTCCCAGACTCCTCTGACACCGTTCAGCATAGCGTGTTCCTGAGACGTACAGGACATGCGCTCACAGGAGTACTTTAGACGTACAGGTTTCACCAGAAACTTTGATTCCCGTGTGACATTGGTCTCTACTTTTTGTCTATCTCAACCACCCAGGCAGAGAGTCACTAATTTGCAATTTGTTAAGTCATTACTTTAAAGTCTGAGCACAGGCAGAAGTGCATTTTCCTTCAGTTCCATCAAGACATAATTGTTTCATGTGCAGCAGTTTAAATAAGCTATTTACTAACAGCTGCTAGCACCTGGAATGCTGTTATAATGAGCCAGTACTGCTAATTTTGAATACCCCCAGTCCCACAGCTCACAGTACATGCTTTATATCAGCTAGAGCGTCTGAAACGAGGCAGCGTTCCAGTACTTCCACATAAAAACGAGGAAGTCTTTATCTGTCTGCAAGCTCACCAAGCAGCACCTCCAAGCCCAAACTGCGCGCAGAATACCTGGCGTGTTACACGTAACGAACAAAATGACACGGCTGGGTATTAGCGATGCTTTATTTTTCATTTCCCGCAACTCAGTAAACCGATGATGATACCACAAGGGTCATTTCCTGTATTTCAGTAAGTCAGCGAGAGCTGCTAGTGGTACAGTCCAAAATGGTGCGAAATCAGAAGTACTGCGGCACACAGGAAAGCAGAGGGAAGGAAAACCAAAGCAGTTACTCACGGCTTTCCTATGGTAATGGTGCTTTGTGGCCTAGCTCGCTCTCGTGGCCCTAGACGCACCATGCTAGGCCCCACAAAGCGCAATTTCTGCCATAAAATGCATGCACTTTAAATACAAGGAAGCTGGTGAACACAGCAGAAACAAAAACAAAACCAGAGGGGCGTTTGCTGATCGGCATGGTGTGATTCTGTGCAAGCCACACACAGCCAGCGATTAACGGGAGCGTTTGGGGTAGTGCTGAAGGGAAAAACACCATGTCACGGAGCTGGGTAAGGCCAGCGCCTTCCACCTTGGAGAGAATTCTTGCGCAAGGTTGAGAAATATTTCAAAAAATGTTTTAATGCTGTTAGCATTCCTTTCTGAATGCAAATCACTTGTGCCATGGCCAAACAAGCCTGGGCAGCTTTCACCAACTAGGGCAAATAACTTCCTCCCCTAAAAATGGAGAGCAATATAAATGTTTTTAATTAGTAATTAAAAAAAAAAAAACAAAAAAAAAACGAGTGATGCAGCTAGAGAGCAATTCACTCTCTAGTGTGTGCTAGAGATTGCTGGAGAGCAATTTCACAAAAACATCACAGGGTCAACTCAAGGAGGGGGACCAGTTGTGAACCCAATGGATGAAGTAACTCTGCTCCTCCCCAAGCACAAACACGTTATATCCGCTACTTTCCACTGCTGCAATTCTCAGCATAAAGCACTTAAGTGTGAGTTTGTGGTGCAGTTTCTCTTAAGAACACTGCTACGTGAACACTGCTACGTTTTGCACTATTAGCTCGTTATTTTGCAGCGCTTAAAAAAGCTTTATTGCCGACTTCCTATCGGCAAAGACTCATGAATTAAAAAAATAAACATATATATACACACACACACATATAGGTGTTTTAATTATTCAGTACCCTAAGTGACCACAGGTTCAGACTCAGATGTAAGGCCCTTTACTTGTCTTACCCCACAGTACTCATCATCTTCTGTTCCAAAGTAGCAATTAGATATTGATCTTGGCTGATCTTAGCTACTATGAGGTCCCGTCACCAGAGAGGAGTGCTTTTTTTCATGTTGGAAGTCAAAGAACACCTTAAAGACATCAAAGATTGTCTGATCCATTTGTCTGGGTTACCATCAAGAGCAAGGATGTTTAGACAATCTGTGAGAGATGTTTGTTTAATCCAGTCTTAAAAAAAAAATCCTCTGATGAGGAAGATTCACTGCCTCCCAACATAGTCTGCTCAAGAACAACAAAGGTGTTAAGGAGCATTCATAAAATCTAAACTTTCTTTCCTTCATAGTAAGTTGTTTAGTGTCTTCTAGTGAAGATGAGGAACAGCTGCCCATCACCTTCTTTATGTTAGCCTGTCAGATATTAAAAGGAAGACTGTCTTTATGATTGTCTACTTGATTTATTTATGAATAAATGATTGCTATTCCTATAGGTCACATTTAAAAACTTTTTTTTTTATATTCCTGTTCACATTCCTGAGATCTATATCCCTCTGTATATATAAATTCCTGAGTAAGCTGAGAAGCTGAATATAGCCAACCTGAGTTCCAAATGGTTATGAACGGTGTAAAAACAATCCCAAGATTTTGAAGCTGGGTAGGTAATGATGCAGGTGTACTCTCAGTGACTCCAATGCATGGCTTACCTCAGCTTTGCCTAGGTGGAGTCCCTGGCAGAGTCTTCTCTCCTTTCTGTACTTTAAACTCTTCTAAATTTGGTACTAGTAAATGAATTTCATTGTTTGAGAGACAACAAGTGTGCAGCTGATTGCTCTCAGCATATGGGTAACTACACATTTTACACCTTTTCATTGCTCTCTTTCTGGCTGCCCAGAGATATGGGAGCAACAGATGCCTTGAAATGGTGTCTGTAGCACATTTCAGAAACAATAATTGTCCATTCAGGTCCCTTTAAAAAAAAGACAGCAAAAAAACAGCTAAGTTTTCCATCACTAAGATCCTCAGAAGGATCAATCACACATCATGAATAATAATAATAGAATAGGGAGGACAGCTGCTCATCCTAATAACATCACCAGGAGGAGTAATCAGGAATCCCCTTGACCAAAACAGGTGCCACTGCAAGATAAAAGTCATAAGCTCCAGCTCCAGCAGCAGTCTGTTGCCATAGACCGAGGCTGAGCGGGGCGGCGCCGCCGTGCCCGAGCCCGTCCCGGGGACTTGCGACAAATTTCTGCCTAGTCCAGGTCGCTTTTCAGCGTGGGCCCAATACCCCCTCCCGGGATGGTTGGCAACCCGGAAAAATACACAGAATGTTCGTCCTTTCAGTCTTCTTTCGCATACTCCAGATGTTCTCCATTCTTTTGCTAACTGACCCCCTTAGTGTTTAATTATATCAGGATGAGAAATGAATTTCGATTTTGTTTGTTTTGTTTTGTAATCTGTGTCACTCTATGTTGCGTTGCCAAAGAGCATTGTAGGGTGCCGAGTGTGCCCCTGCCATGTCAGACATCCCACTCTAGGCATGGAAGCTGACACACCTGTTGGTGGCCTCTATGTCTTACATGGCTGAGGAAAAACATGTATGGAACAAGTATGGAAAATGTATGGAACCAGTCTGGAACGAAATGGGATTGCAGGTGGCTGTGTGCCAGGTGAGGGAGGGAGGTGTCTGAAGCAAACAGGATCCGCTCCTCACTTCCTCATGCTTCCTCCCTAGTTCAGAATTAGATGTCTTAGACTGGGCTTGAATAATTTAAATTATGTATATATATATATATATACACACACATATATATATATATATTTACTGTTCCTCGCTGTCCTTCCTTGTTTAACTGTAGCTGGGTGTTCTCTCACCTGTCGTCCTAGACACTTAGGCCTGTGTATCCTTATGTTTAGCAGTTAAGTAACAGGAGTGGAGCCAGCCCTACTCTGCTTGTTTTCATGAGCAGTTGCTTTAATGCTAGCCTTATTATACAAAAGATGGGCTCCATCATTCATAACAGTGCACCACTCTGAAAAATGAAGGAGCACATTGCAAATCCACAGCATTTCTTCCCCTGGCCCTACGTGTACATCTGTCCCCAGCACCATCGTCTATCCTCTGTCCATGTGTCAGGCCTTCCTCTAGGCTTCTTCAGCTCACTAATCCAGCAGAAGACTACTCAGGTTTTTATGGGTTATTGGGTCAATTGTATGTATTTCTACAGAAGTTTTTATAAGTTCCAAACCTAGTGCATGGTAAGTAGCAGGAAAGAAAAAGGAAAGAAAATACATGCATTTTGACAACAAATCAGTTTATGTGCCAGGCCTTCTTCTAGGCTTGGATGACTATCCGTAGAATCATTCTAACCAGATGTTTTAACAGTGTTTATCACATAAGTTAAAATAATTCAACATGCTGTGTTTTAACGCATTAATTTAAAATACTGTGTTTTTTAAAAAATGATTTTGTTATTAAATGCTTTTTATTTTCTGTCTTTCAGGTTGAAGGTGGTCCGTTGTGAGTGTTAGTCATCTGCCGCTTATTTCATAGTTGTTTTATTCAGAAAATTTCCTGCGTTGTTCATGGTAAGACTTACATTTGCTGTTTCACTTTTAGTTTGAGCTGTGTTGTTGCATGTTAGTTTTTTGTTAGCAAGCTGTAGTGATATGTAGTTCTTACACGTTTTTTAGCACTTGCTATAGTATAGTATTTAGCTATAGGATTTTACTATATTTTTACTTTATATATTTTAGCTATAAGAATTACTACTCTTGCAATAGGATCATACATTTATTGGAAATTACAACTTCACAGAGAAAGTTTTCAATTTAGAATGACTGAATCAGTAAACATCTGAATAAATTAGTGCCATATTACAAAAAAAAACTCATCTCTAAATCACAGAGTATCCTGTGAGATATTTAATTTAAAGAAAGACCTTTTTCTACCTACAACTTCAAGAGACTTTTAAAAATAGTGCTTTTATAATCTGAAAGGACTTTCCACTCAAATTAAGCCAAAATTTTCACTTGAGAGTTCTTGGAATTTGTAAATGGCATCGGCTGTTTTGATTTCATTACTTAGACCACTTTATAAAACATACAAAACTTTCTCTTGTTATTTTACAGGAGTTTTTCATCAGTATGTCTGAAACCATTAAATATAATGACGATGATCACAAAACTGTGTTTCTGAAAACATTAAATGAACAACGTTTGGAAGGAGAATTCTGTGACATAGCTATTGTGGTTGAGGATGTTAAATTCCGAGCACATCGGTGTGTACTTGCTGCCTGCAGTACCTACTTCAAAAAGCTTTTCAAAAAACTAGAAGTTGATAGTTCATCAGTTATAGAAATAGATTTTCTTCGTTCTGATATTTTTGAGGAAGTTCTCAATTACATGTATACTGCAAAGATTTCTGTTAAGAAAGAGGATGTAAATTTGATGATGTCTTCAGGCCAGATTCTTGGTATTCGTTTTTTAGATAAACTCTGCTCTCAGAAACGTGATGTATCTAGTCCTGAAGAAAACACACAGTCCAAGAGCAAGTACTGTCTAAAAATAAACCGTCCTATCGGGGAAGCTAACGATGCCCAGGACGATGAGGTGGAAGAAATTGGAGATCACGACGATAGCCCATCAGATGTGACAGTGGAAGGAACTCCCCCCAGTCAGGAGGATGGAAAATCGCCTACCACTACCCTGAGAGTTCAAGAAGCAATTCTGAAAGAGCTGGGGAGTGAAGAGGTTCGAAAAGTCAACTGTTATGGCCAGGAAGTAGAGCCTATGGAAACAACTGAATCAAAAGACTTAGGATCTCAAACCCCTCAAGCACTGACATTTAATGATGGCATAAGTGAGGTGAAAGATGAACAGACACCAGGCTGGACAACAGGAGCTGGGGACATGAAGTTTGAGTATTTGCTTTATGGTCACAGGGAGCATATTGTTTGTCAGGCTTGTGGCAAGACGTTTTCCGATGAGGCGCGACTGAGGAAACATGAAAAGCTACACACTGCTGATAGGCCGTTTGTTTGTGAGATGTGTACAAAGGGCTTTACCACACAAGCTCACTTGAAAGAGCATCTGAAAATACACACAGGTTACAAGCCTTACAGTTGTGAGGTGTGTGGAAAGTCTTTTATTCGTGCACCGGATCTAAAAAAGCACGAAAGAGTTCACAGTAATGAGAGGCCCTTTGCATGCCATATGTGTGACAAAGCTTTCAAGCACAAGTCCCACCTCAAAGACCACGAGAGGAGACATCGAGGAGAGAAGCCTTTTGTCTGCACTTCCTGCACAAAAGCCTTTGCTAAGGCCTCGGATCTAAAAAGGCACGAGAACAATATGCACAGTGAAAGGAAACAAGTTCCTGCGGCCAATGCCATCCAGAGTGAAACAGAACAATTACAGGCAGCAGCTATGGCTGCTGAAGCAGAGCAGCAGTTAGAAACTATAGCTTGTAGTTAGAAACAAAAGCAGCAACTTTAACAGAAATAATATAAGAAATTAAACTGATCAGAATTTATTGGTGGCATATGTTTAGACTGATAATTATCTTTTCAAGAAAACTTATTTTTAGAGGATTTGAATGCTGCATAGGAACACACAGCATTGCTTCGTTAGATATTTTAAAGTAATTCAGAGATGTGTATTCTTAGAGCATAAAATCGTTTTGTTGCCATTAGAGCTATAATGCACTAACACATGATTTAATTTAAGAATATGATCAAGTTCTCTGTAAAACAGAGGGATCATCACTGGCTGATGTTGTATTTCATCCAGTATGGAATATTACATGCGTTATAGACATCAAAATCAGTGATTTATGTTTCAAAATGCTGACATCTCAAAATTGCATATGTGAGAACGACGTACTTATTTTTCATAATTTTGAAGGTGTCATATCTACAATTTGCGAAACTCAACCATTGATTTCCTAGGATTTCCTTTACTTCCTTTTTTTTTTTTTTTTTCACCTACGGTAGGTGTTAGGTGTCGATACAGCGAAGGCTAATGGGGAAGGTGATCAAATGAAATTGCTTCTTATTCCACTTTATCAAACATCGTCTTGTTTTAATCAAGCTAGTGAGTTTACTGAAGTGGTAAACATTTGCTTTCCTGAAAAAAAATCTGCATTATTCCCATTCACAGGACTCCAGGCTGGCAAAACAAGAAGGTCGTGGCTTTCACCAATCCCTTCTGTGGGGAAAAAATCTGCCCCGTTTGTTTCTATGTTTGCTGTAGAAATCTAATGCAGTCCCCAGAAGATGGGACAGAGCAACATAGAAAAAAAAGGAAGGAAGGATGTATTTCCTTGCTCCGAGCCAGCTGAAATGAGTTAAAGCTATTGAAATTAGTTAAAGCTAATACAGCCTGAGGTTGTCGTTTCTATGATGCAGCTTTCAAGTTTTCGCTTTACTTAACCCCACACAAACAGAGGCAAAGGAGCGTTTCTGGCAGCACAGCAGAATGAGCTGTATTATCACATGTGTGGAATTCCCTGCCAGACCTCCCAGGTTTCCGTGTAAAGCCACAGGCTACAGATCCCTGCCAGCAATTTTCAGGCTGGACTTTATATCTTGAGTAGTCACAGCAGCCAGTAGGTCTTGGTTAAGTCTAAAAATTTCTGCCTTCTGACAAACTACCTCTCACTGAGAGGAAGATTTTGGGGAGTGATTTCAGGCATCATTGATGCAGAATCAGTGTTTCTTAACAGTCTGTTACTTAGAGTTGCCTATTTTAATTTTTTTTTCAACAACCTTGGGTAGATGCTGTTAATTCAGTTCTCTCGGCATCAGCAAAATCCATAGTCTTTGGATTGCACTCTGCTAGGCATTATCAACAAGAGAAGGCAGTAAGAGTGATAAAGTGATCCGGAGGGATATCAAACCTTTATTTTAAATGTGTAAATACTACAACAGTTGTCAACAGTTCACTGAACGTTGGAATGGGCAAAAACGCACTCCTGTGCACACGATTGGCGTGTGTTGGTCACGTGAGATACCTATAGCATATGGAAGCGTTAGACCAGTTCATGATAAGTTACTATGTGGTAGGTGACCTCTTGCATTTCTGAATAGAAATTGAAAATAGCATTTCTAAAACTGTTAGATGAAACTTTACTCTGATTATTGATTTTTTTTTTACAGCTTTGTTTTGTTCATGTACTCATCAGGTTAAGCAATTATATTAAAATGCCAATAATTGTTTGAAAGCTGGTCTGTAAATAAAACATGAATTTAATATTTTAGAAATGTAAACTTTGGACCTTTATGAATATATTTTTTTAAAATGTTGCTTTCTTTTACATTCAGTAATATTAGTTTGTAAACAAACTATATGTTTTGTATCTGTGCAACATCAGAGGATGTGTATTCATGGCATTTTATTGGTTCTCTTGAGGAACATGATAAATGATCATTGTTGAAGTGTTTTACTGTGTATAATCATAGATAAAAATGGTAGGTCCAAAATGGGATCTACTTCTTTTTTCTTTCTAAGTATATTAGTCTTGCTATGTTTTCTTGTCTAAAATTTTGTTCACTGTTTGTTAGATGAAATGATTGCATTTGTTAAGACTAAACAAGTCTGTTATGATAAAACTTCAAAAGTGAAGAAAATAGCTATAAGGAGGAAGAAAAACTTTTTTTTTTCTGTAGATCTCCCATAAAGAGTATAAAAAGTAATGAGCTTAAATTACAACAGAGAAGATTTACATTAGAAAAGCATTTCTAATGGCTTTGTATTAGCCTTTCTAATACTGAAGCCTTAGAACAGAGTGCCTTGGGAAGAGCTGCGACCTGCATTAAGGGTGATCTTCAAGAACAGCTTTGACAAGCATCTGGCAGGCAAGGTTTAAATATAGTTAATTCTGCCTTGAGGCAGAGAGGTAAGCTAAAACCCTCTCAGGGTCCTCTTTATTTTTGTTTTTCTGGAATGTTACGAAAGCTATAAATGAGCATATGTCTCATTGGGGCAGCAGACACTTGAATGTAAAGACTGAGCTCAAGGCATACGTGACAGGAAAATTGCACTCTTGACATTTATGCACAAATAATCAGGCTATGAATTTGAGATTTGTGTAGAAAAACAAGCTTGTGTTAAAAGGCCAGCAAATGAAAGTGGGATAAGTGCATTTTGGCTATCAAGGGCTACCTGATGTCTCTAGCTTTTTAAAATTGTACAGTATGGTATTTCTTATATATATATATATATGTATATACACACATATATTTATGTAAATAATATTAAGGTGTGCAGAAGTAGGACCAAATGTTACTGTTATGTGTATCTTGGACATGACATTAACGCCTTGCACAAGACTTGGTCTTAATAGTCTCTTGCAGGAAGAAATTAAGTGAGAAAATGGGATTATTCACATGGCATAGGCTTCAAGAGGGGCTTAAGCCTTTTACTAGCTTCTGGTACCTGGGTTTCATAAGTCTGATGTATTTTCCAAGACTGCCAATGATAATTATTAATCAGGAAAGCAAAGACTTGGTCCCAAATCTTGTGAATTTTAGTTTTTTTCCCTACTATCAATTTTAAGGATGTGAAACTGCCTTTTACCTTTCACTGTTTTGTAGAAAGCCAATATTTTTTTGTTTGCTTGCCAAATATTTTTATTGAAGACAGTGATAAGACCTAGAGTCAGTGTAAGCGTAAGTTCCAGAAGAGGTGTTAGAAGGGAACTGTGGAAGTTAGCCCAGCTGTGCACTACAGTTAATGTATTTAAATAGGTGCTGTTGTACATATACATTCTGAAAGGGTGGCAGTTTTGTGTTACTGAGGTCTGACTCCAAAGTTCAGGTAAAACTGATCACGTGTTCAGATGTTGCTGTCCCAGCTTGTGCCCTGTCTGTGCCAAAACACGTTGCGTGCAGAAGCAGATGTGGACGAGCTCCAGGCCACTGTGGCGTTGGCTAAAGAACAGGCACATTTTAATTCAGTTGTTGCCAACCTGCCAACTTCTTTCAGAACTCATGAGATGGTGGAGGAAATCCTGTCTGATTAATGCAAATTTTGCCTTTGTTTTTACAGAACTGACTAGCAAAAACATTACGAATGTGACTAGACCCATATACATCTGTTGTTTTGGGAATCAAGCTGCTATATCATTAATATGCAAAGCGAAAAATCAGCTATTCTTTTGTGCTTGTATTGAAAATGTGTCCAAGTTATGATGCTGAATGAGTGAGTGGCTTCAGTGGAGCTCTCCCATGTTTTGGAATCAGGCGTATGATTATTTGTTTGCATGATTGGGTTTTTTAGCTGATGTAAAAAGAGGTGGTTCTGGTGACCTGAATGGGTGTATATGACTAACACCAGCTGAGATGCTAAACCAAAGTCTTTTCAGTTAAAAAAAAATCTAAATAATAAGGAAAAATAACCATTTAATTAAAAGGCTTTGTGATTTAAAAGCCTAAATAACTTAGATGAAAAGAAATATTTGAAGAACTTTGCTACTCTCTGATTTTAACTGTGCTCTTAAAAACTGTTGCTTCTTAAAGAGAAAAGGAGACCATGAAAATAGTTTGCGCTCTCGTATTTGAATCCGTTTGATCTGATCCAGGTGGTTTGCTGTGGTTATACTGCTGGTTATTGATACAACTAAGTTTGGTAAATACATATTAGTCAGGACAGAAGGATATCTTCCAGGCCTGCTCCACCTCCATCACCTTCTAAAGAGCGTACTCTTCTTATCAATACTTAACCAAATGTTAGAAAAGGAAGCAATTCACTTTTGAATACTTACGTTTTCATTTTCTGTCTTAATATTTGAAAAACATATAGGCCAAGATGAGCTCTAAAGGTTATTTGTAATTTGCAGAAGTTTCCTGTGCTGTTTTCAGCAGCCAAGTTTTAAAGAGTTCACCTTTTTCTGTGTTCATTTCTAAGTACTGTTCAAAATCTTGCATTTATTTAGGTGTCAAACCTGGACATCTTTCAAAGATCTGGCCTTGATTTTCTAATGTGGACACTGCATTGGGGATGCCTTCATTCATGATGCCAGTAAAGATATTTAAATTAATAGAAATGGGTAAAATACAGAATAAAATACCAGAGGATATCAGAAAGTCTACCCTAAGCTGAAAGTGTATTTTTAAGGGCTTGTTATCTGCTCTTACATCTTCTATCAATTTAGATAGAAATGCACCTCCATCTTGCAGAAGGTGCGTTTCTGAACAAAAGTACATCCAGCTCTAGTAATATATGACTTTTCTGAAAACAAACATTTACATATCCGTACAGAGTAGGGTTATTCCACGTGAAAGGATAAGGAATTTTCATCTCTCTCATTTCACAGATGGCAGTGGCAGGCCCAGTAAGCCAGAACTGTGCATTTCACTAAAAATTCCATTACAGCAGCTGGTCTGTCATTCGTCTTCACATGGATCTAAAACAATTAAAACATGCTCATTTGTTTCAGGACAGAGAGAGGATTTCCATGAATAGCTTTTGTTAAATGTGTGTTCTGAGAGTCGAGACATCTATTTTCAGGAATAGTTCTAAAATGTGATACCAGAAATGTGAAATAATGTGGCAGCTGAGAATAGTGATTTATATTTATATGCTTTTGAATGTATTTCTGTCCACTATCCTTTTATTTTCTGTAGACTCCTTTATTACAAACATTTTATACAACCATTTTTCAATTTAGAAAAATCGTATTTTCTGTAGGTTTCTGACCTCTGGCTCATTTATACATCTGCATCTGTGAGCAACTTGGTGGTACGGAGGCTTAACTTTTACAACATTATTTAAAGACAAAATATCTGTACTTCATTCACAAGACCAGCGGATGGGCTACAGTGGACCTCCACTCCGTGTTGCCAGGACGGAAGACTCATTT